GATTGGAATTTATTTATTACTGTTCCAGCCTGAACAGTACTTTGCTTCTGCAACAGCAAAGTACTAAAGCACTATTGGAGGCCCAGATTCCAGACACAAGTACTTTGAATTTCATGAAGGGAACTTAAGGGTTCCAGAGTAAAGAAAGAAAAAAGATCATGGATGGGGTGTGGGCAGCCTTACTTCACCCAGATCACTTGAAATGAATGGGGTATATTAGTCCTGGCTGACTTAAAACCTATTCATTTTATGGATATACTCTTACGTAGCGCTAGCCCAATATTTCCCTTTATTGCTCTTGATATTCTGGTTGTGAGACTTAGGTGCACATCTAGCCAGACACAAGAGGGGAGACATCAGGTGCCTTAGACAACCCAGAAGATTGCAGGTGTACACTAAAAAAAAAAAGCATCCCAAGGGGAGAAGCCCAAAAGCAGATCCATGAGACCGAGGCTGCAGTGGAAGGCAAAAAGAAAGGGAGGGAGCAATGGAACCAGTGCCTGGAAGCCTTGAGAGCAGCTCTTTGCACTGGTTCGCTCCCTTGCAGGGCCCACTTGTTACTGATGCACATCCACTCATCTAATGAGAGCGAGCTTTGGCTGTTGGGCGGTATAGAAATGTATTTATTTAATCAAATGTTTTGGCTTTGAAGGTGCAATCCTATGTATGATTAGGCAGAAAGAAACCATAGTGCATAGGTGTTTAGACTGAGAAAAGGAGCTAGGGTGAGCGATTGGTTAGCATGTTGAGCTAGGGCTATGCCAATCCAAGCTGGAACTCTCAGCCGTGAAACTTACTGGATAATCTTCAGCAGGCCCCTGTCTCTCACTGAAACCTATCTTAAAGGGGTAGCCTATTTAGCCTCCAGCAAAAAAAACCCCTGAAGGGTCTAGTAACATTATAAGGATGAACACATCTTTGGCGGACACGGTCTGTTCTTCATGTGTATCTGATGAACTGGGCAGCAGCCACCAAAGGTTATGTCAGAATAACTATCTTAGTTTTGAAGCTGCCATGGCAGTTTGGGGCGGCGGGGGGGGGGGGGATCTAGGCTCCATAGAAGAAACCTGGGATTTAAAGGTACTCCTTAAAATAAAAAAAATGTTTAGGATTGGGCTGTATATTCGAATAATGCAGCTAAGGCTGATCTCCTGGACTGATTTTGTTGGGGCTTGCTCTCAGGGAAGTGCATTTAAGAATGCAGCCTTATGGTTACACATCATCTCAATCTATGTCTTGAGTGTCCACTGTTACAGACACTGGGGGGGCCTATGGGTCACCTCCAAACCTGTCCGGCTTACAGTTTTCATAGACAGCTGGTAGGTCAATATAGCTAGCCTAGGTCTGACCTGGCCAAGTATTTCATGCAGTCTTCCTGTTCCAAAGACAGCTGCCTTTGCCCTGCAAAGGTGATGTCCGACAAGGCCATTCCTCCGAAATAAAAACTGCAGAAATAGCATCTTATTAACTCATTTTGGGGACACTCAGAACTGTCCTAGCATATTAGAAGCTGTATCCCTGGAAAGAAGCCCCTGCAGTCCTGGTGGGACCCTTGCCAGTGTGATGCCTTCCAGACATGTGGATTACCAGTCCCATTGTCCCTGGACAGCATCTCCTAAGTCAACATGGACAGCAGGCTGAGCACAGATTCAAAATGTTACTTGAACATAAGCACCACATATTAAAGAAAAAAGGCTAGGATTACAACACCAGTTACAAATGTCAAGCACACTTTGGTACCACAGATTTCAGTGCAAAGGAGTTAAGCAGATCCTTAATTTCCCGATCACTGAAAGCCAAGGCACTTAGAAATCTTTTCACTCTAAGATTTGTTTGTGATGTGGAAGTCAGTTCCACCAAGCAACAAAAGTTTACAGCATATACCAAGAAATGGCTGAAAGCTAGCTTTGTTACTGAACTGCTTTATTCCTTGAAACAAAGGAGCTTTCCCAAATGAGTCCTACATATGTGTTGGATTACAATAACCAGCATCCCCAAGTCAGAAATACTATTGAAAAACTAAAGTGGAACCTTTGAAGGGACTTCAGCTGTACCCTATCCATTGCTCATGTTTGTTAGCCTATGCTGGAGTTACAGTCTAACACTTGAGGAAAGCTGATCCAAGGGTCCACCAAACTTATTGTGGCACAGAAGTCTGCAGCACATGGAGACATGAAAGTCTGCATAACTTTTCTTAAAGAAAAGACCAATCACAGACATAGCCAGTGAGGTATTTTATATCTCTATATTTAGTCAAGCTTAGAGATGCGGTCACTTGGCTTGCCACCACTGAAAAGGTCAAAAATCATGTAATGCTGCTTTCTAGCTGAGAAGCTCAAGCTACAGAAATAGGACACACTAACAGGCATAAGCAATAACATCTCATTTTTTCAATGGGCAAATGATTAAAAAAGAGGCACCTCATTCCCTGATGCACACAAGGAACAAATATGCATTCAATTCAACAGTATGCCAGTCTGCAACATTCCCAATGATTCAAAGCGCTCAGAAAAGCAGCAATAAACTGATGGGGTTTGCAGGAGAGACGTTTATTCGTAAGGAAGGAACATTCCTATGGACCTTCAATATTAGAGTCTTAAACAGATTGGTTGTGTGGGAGCTGCATGAGCGATGATAGACCAGAGGCCACTTCGTCAGAAGATTATGCTGCAATAAATCTATGGGTTCCTGGCTGAAGGATTTGTGTAGCACAGTCCAGGGTAAGTATGCTTGGTAGTAAGTTTCTTTGGGTAGCATCCACTGTTAGCCCTAGGTAGGCCTATGAATGACACATCATAGTATCCACTGTGTTTCATAGTAGTATTCTACTTCCACGTAACTGCACATAGATTTTTAAGCCAGTAAAATGCCTCAGTCTTTTTCCTGAGACTGGCATTTACAAAATGTTAATAGCCTTATGTTTCAATCCTTTATACACCCTTCATTCTGTATCTGGGAGTTAGTCTTAATCGAGAAAATCGGATTTACTTCTCAGTGGACATGTACAGAATTGTGCTATAACAATACAATCCTAGATATGACTCTCACATAACTCAAAGGCCCACTGGGTAAGAGAATTACTTCCAGGTAAGGATGTACAGGACAGCAGCCTTAGGTCCCAACACTACCCGTGCTTAGAATGTCTGGATGGAGAATTCTGGAAGTTGTTGAATTCCAAGGATTTTGTCTGCCTAAATAGGCATGGGATCACACCCATAGTTGCTCATCTGGCAACCCCTCTGGAGGGCATTAGCACATAAAATCCGGAGAGTTTGCACTTACTGCTGGCGTCGGTAATGGTGTTGTGCTACACAGCCTGAGAACAAGCCTCTTTTCTTTTAAGACCTGTACATTTCTTTACGCTTGTCGTCAATGGTAATGAAAGGCTTCTACTTAGATGATATGCCCCGTTCGTGGCACACCAAAAAATGCGTCAGCGGAAAGACAACCGCTGACACGCACGTACGTTTCCTATGTCAGGACCTTCCAAATGGTGGCGGACGCCGCGCTTCGATTCGCTCTTGCGAGAGCGGCGCCAAGATCCGGCCTTCTGCGTTGCCTAACACTAATTTACGGACAGCGCTCACTCTCGCCCCCTCGGAAAAGCACCAGTGTCACGCCAAAGAAACCTGTGGAGCTTTACTCCATTGCTTTTCATGGGACTTGAAGGTGATTGCGCTGGACCCGTTTATTCTGATTCCAGTGGAACATTTAACTCAATGCGACATACCTTCGTTTGCAGGGGTGAAAGGGAACTCTGTGTGCTTAAGAACACGAGCATCTTAGTTATAATAATAGCAATAATTCAAGAAAAAGAGAACGAGGGAAAGAACATATCCTATCCCCGTACTGCTACTGGTGACTTTTAATACTGCAATTCACAATATGGTCAAGCTCCGGAGTGACTCTCCCGACATTGGGAGAGTCCATAAAATAAGGGATGGATTCCTACACATCGAGGGCAATCGCATGTAAGGCTTATCCTAAGATCTACTTCCGAGTTCAATATTCACAGTACGGAAATTTAGCTAATTTTTGCAATGCGTTTAGGAGAGGAAAACTTCAAGCACCATTAATACAGCGAATTATCGGAGATGCTTTTTCCCTCCTAGGACTTCTCCGCCATCTCAGTGCCCTCAGCCCCTAGTGTAGTTGCAGTTCAAAACCCTTGCAGACTGAGCCAGGAAGCGAAAGGGGAGGGGAATCCATTGCACGCATACCCAAGAATAACGTCTGCTATGCACAACGGGTTGCTTCCAATTATTATGCTGGACTACTTAAAGGGTCTGACAAAATAGACGCACAGCATGATTCAGGCCAATTTCATTCATAAAATAGTTTATTGAAATAAAATCAATATCTTCATGTTAATAAAAATCGATTGTAAAATGCGTTTGTCGAATGATCTGCGGCAGCCCCGATCTTTGACAGCAAAAGGGTCAGAATCACTTTCTGCCTGCCAGGTCAAACAGGGAAAACAAACGAAGCAACGCCACCCCCGCCAGCCTTCTCAATCCACGCCCACCCAGAGAGAAGAGAGGGTAACGTTTTACTTATGTACACAGAGACGGGGTGAGATAACTCAAACGCAAAGTAAATACAACGGAATCAACTGCGAATAATAGTCCACTAACCAGTTACCACCCGTCTTCTTCATCTTCCACTTTGCAGCTTCTCAAAAACAAGACCAGTCTCCCGACCCTCGTACCGTTTGCACGCCTGCTCCTCTTTACAGAAACAAATACGACCCACGTGGTGAGAATCAAGAGAGGGCCTCAGCGAGGTCTAGTCGACTGGCGAAACGTACAAACCTGGAGGACAGTCCTCGTGGCTAGAGGTCCCAGCAGTGCGCACCTGAATGTGAGGAGCTTTTTATTTCCTCGGAAGGCAGCCTCTGGTCCACCGGGAGAAAAGGCACTGCGATCAATGCGGCCTTTGCGCTACCGTAAGTCTCCACGTTCAAGGGCACTCCCGCGAGGCCTCGGGCCTGTGCCGCTTTATTATTCCTCCTGGCTGACTTGACAGGGGGAACCGAGGCTTTCCGCTTGTTTCTCCGCTTCCTTCGCTCGCTCTTGCTCTGTCAGCTGTTCGCTGGTAGGAATGGAATTTTTCTTTGGACGACCTTTGGGCTTGGTGGGGGATTCAAGCCCGCCACCTTGCAGAACCTGCAAATAGCCAAAGGCCTAAATGTTCAGGAAAACACAAGCAGGGCGAACAAATTTACCCAGCCAGAAAAAAACCGGAGACATGCAGAAAACCTGTATTATTTAAGGTCACAATGGTGATCAAGAAACCATTGGTTCTTCCTGAAGATTTCAGCACCAAGCCTGCCACAGTGGCCAATGTGAAAATACCATTCAACTGTTTCAGGCCTTCACCTTGTGCTACTTAGAGAGCCAGCTAGGCCTGCTACACACTCCACTCTTCCTGGCATCATTTCTGTGTTTCAGCATAGCAGGCAGGAATCCAACAGATGCAACAGTCCCTTTCCCCAGAAATATGTCTTTGTGCGTTGAATTCTTGTCTTTCATCACGCTAGTTATTGGCACTTAATCCTTGTCAGAAAGGAGGGGAAGAGTGGTCCAACTGCTAACTCTTTAGCTGAGGAACAAGGAGGTAACTATTCTGCAGGAAAGCAAAGCTGAAACTAAATCATTTTCATTACTTGATCTATAAGTAATAAGAAAGCTCAATGCTGGTTGGCTTGCATGTGAATGAATGCTAATAGGTGCTACCCCAGGTCCTATTAAAACAGCTTAGAAGCACCACTTCAACCCTAGGTACATACTGAAAGGACAAAAGCACTTTCTGATTATAATTACTGGCCTGACTGCTGCCCATTAAGCTGGCTAGAAGTGCAAACCTATAAACTGTATAGGATTTCACCCTTAGCCACCTACATGCATATATAAGTCTACTCAGAAATGCGTCCCATTGGGTCCAATGAGACTTAGTCCCAGCTTGGCAGCTTCAAAGATGCAAAAAGGGTCATCATCTCAGACAGATGCTAGACATGGGTAGGGAAGAGAGCCTGACTTCATAAAAAAGAATGACAGTGCAATCCTACGCATGCCTACTTCGAACTAAGTTCCAGTTAAGTGGGTATAGAATTGCAGCCTTAATTAGAACGATCAGCACTGCCAAACCATCCATAGGCTGCAGCTAGTCGTATTATGTTCCTCAGTTCTTACTTGGAATTTTCATTAGTTCAGTGAGTCTGGCTTTGAAATAATTTCCTGAAACTGAGTCTACATTTTGTTGCATTTTAGCATATTCTTGCCTCTTCTATTCCTCCTTTCCACACATGTGATTTAGTGTTACTCGGTAAAGCTCAATATACATTTCATGGTGGCATCATCATCACCATCTGACGGTTAACATGTAATAATTGTGACTGTGTGTCAGGTCCTCCCATTTCAGTGAAGTTTACTTTCTTGCACATGTGATTAGAGATGTGGCAAGTAAACCATCACGTTGTTTCCAAGTAAATGTGGTTATGATCAACATATAAGGGACTGACTTTAAGGAACCAAAATAAACATTACATCATCTCATTAAGGTTAACAAGTCCTATTTAAAGAAGATTACAGCCGCTCCCTCCCCTGAATACCCCAGGAAAATCATTGCATTGTTTTGGAAAAATGAGCTTCACATCCCCTGAATCAAGTGGAACACGTTGAAGGCATTAATGTAAACAGTTAAGAATGCCATATTTAAGCCTGCTATTAATTAATGAATGTGAAGACAGTCCAAGAGCTGATGTAAACTAGTTAGGCATGCTTTAGTCCTATTGAAATCAATGAGATGGGTCTGGTAGAAGTAAACAGAGATTCCATCGATACCTATGGGACTAAAGCCTAACAGATTTACAGTATGGCCCTATACATATCAGTGGGCAAGGAGTGCATAACATAGCAGATAGGGTGGTAACCACTGCTCAGTATCCAGACCATATGAAACCTGTCTTGAAAGAATCTGTGTAAGAGCATGAGAAAAGCCATGCTGGATCAGACCAAGAGCCCCTCCAGTCCAGCACCGTTACATGGTGGGAAACCAGCTGTCCACTGGATCCCTCCAGGAGGATGGGGACAGGAGTTCTACCTGCCCAAGATCCTCAGCAACTGGTGTACACAGGCATATGCTGCCGCTGATACCAGAGGCAGCACGTTGCTAGCAAGGCCAGTAACCACTGATAGCCTTCTCTTCCCTGGATTTGCTTTCCATGCTCAGTTTAATGCTCCTGGTTTTAACTCTGAAAACACAAAAGACACAATCCTATGCATGTTGAGACAGAAAAAGTCCTAGAGACACCCTGCTCTTTTATGACCCTGTCTTAGGATCTTTTGAGTGCCCCATGACTGGCACCCTGTGTCTCCCTGCTGTTGAGGAACTATGAGTCCCATGCTCTTGACTTTTAGAAAGGGTGTGAAGACACAGCTTTTTAATTTAGACTTTTAAATTAGGTAGGTATTTCACATTTTAATGCCTCCACTATTTTAAATGCTCCTGAAGGCATCTCTAGCTAGGGATTTGCTCTAAAGTTTTATTTAAATTGTTATGCCTTGATGGCTTTTTAGCAAATAAGGCAGCATATGAATGCTAATAATGGTGATGATAAGTCCTGGGTAAGAGTGCATAAGTTTCTGGATTCAACCCCCAAAGTACAGGGCCTGTCCCTTGAAGAAGCTCTGCTGTTTTGCTGGTCCTGCATAAAAACTTCAGTGTCCAGATGGTTTTACTAACTTCTTCATGGCAGTTAAGTCTGGGCACTTAAGCCTGTACCCAAATCCACAAGATGAACATGTCCCCACCACAGGACAGGTGGAGTGGCTTTCTCAACAATAGATTAGACACCCACATGAGCCATGTCAGGCTTTCTGCCATCCCTAGAAAAAAGGCTGCCTGGCTTCCAGTGCTCTTCCAGTGCTCTAGCCATCCTTCCCCAACTTGGTGTCCTGCAAGTGTTTATGACTACAGTTCCCATCATCCCTAAATACTGACATGGTAACTGAATTCCACATCACCAGCCACATCACCAGCCTAGAATAGTCATGAGATGAGCTATTCCCCTTCAGCTTGTCTTAGAGTTGCCTATGGAGACAAGAGGTGGCAGAAAAAGAACTACTGATAAAATTGATTACATATACTTACTATTTTCTTCCATTTCATTCTCCTGTTTTGATACCAGGTTTTCACCTGCAATTGACTCAGGCCCAGGGACTCTGCCAGGTCTATTCTGCAGGGAAAAGGAGATGCACATTGTTCACGTCCTCCATCCTCCAACCACTGCCATTTCCTATGCATTTTCCTCGGAATGCCCTTACTCACCCCTTGCTTCCCTTTGTAAACTGGGTACTTGCTCTTAGTTTTCCAGCCCAGCATTCTGTGTACAAATGGATTGTCTGCAAGACTAGGATTGAATGAGACTTCTTAGTTATGAAAAACTGAAGTCCACCCATTTCACTGGTCTCCTCTAAGGAGGACTGGCACCGAGTACAACCCAATGCGATTGTCTCCTTAAATCTCCTGTTCATAGACCCCAGACGAGGCCAGAGAAACAAGAAGTGTCTTGCCATTTTGCTAAGGAAGGTTTATGGCTCAGCTTTTCTGATGTTGTCTAATAGGAGAAGTGGCTGAGAATCTCAAATTCTACGGTGGTATACCTGGAGATTCCCAGGAGGAAAGACCACACACACACTTGAGTTAGGAACAGCTTGTGCCTCTCTTCACAGAAGGAATGCCGCTTGAGTGACATGAAGGATGTGCCCCTTTACTGAAGGGACAGATTCCTCTTCCCATTTGTGGGCAGCAAAGGACCAGCAAGACTCAGCAGGTTCCTCTGGAAGAGCTGTCCAAGGCAGAAGCCATGGCAACCTCCCATTTAGACAAAAAGAAAAGGAAAGCCCTACAACTCCCAATACTTCCTTCTAGCCATACTCCTGAAACCTGCTCACACATTGTGAGAAGGATCTCACAATGCCCTCTGCCAGCAATGGCTTTTTTCACCTCTTCCACTCTTCTCCACATACACTGACTGGGCATGCTGGGAGATTTTTTCTTTAAGCATGCATAGGACTGCTGCTGAAAATGAAAAAACTCGTGGCATGGCTACTCAGAAGTAAGTCAAGAGGACTTAACGCCCAGGAAAGTGCATGCTGAGCTCTTACGCTGCCTGTGTTTAGGCAGAGAAGAACCCTTGAACTCCCAGCATTCCCCAGGAATCACAGCTGCTAGGGAATGCCGGGAGCTCTCGGACTTTTCCCTAGCCCTTAATTCCAAGCTGCTGCTTGGTGCTCGGGTCGCCCGCTTCGTGCCCGGAGCGACGCGTTGTCAGGCAGCGAGCTGGGGCCAGCCCTGCGGCCCTTTGGGCCCCGACTGGAGTGGAGGAGGCGTGTGGGCAGTGTGGGAATTCCTGGGCGCGGGGGCAGCTGGATGGTCGCGCCACCCGCTCGGCTGCCCGGTGAGGGGCTCTGCCCCCGGGAGCACGAGCTCGGCCGCTCCGCCTGCTCCCCCGCGGCTCCCCCGCGCGCTGCTCGCGGGGCGAGGGCCCACCTGTCGGGCGTGGAGAGGTATTTCTGCTTCTCGAAGCGCTTCTCCAGGCCCATCAGCTGCAGCTCGGTGAAGACGGTGCGGCTTCGACGGCCCTTCTTGGCTTTGCTGCCCGCCTCGGGGCCTCCCGGCTCCAGCTTCCCGCGGAGGTGCAGCTCCAGCGGCAGGTGAGGGGGCCCAGAGCCGCCTTGGAGCCCGGAGCCGGCCGCCAGCAGCGCGGAGCCCAGGCCCGAGCAGCCCAGCGGCGCCAGCGGGAACTTGAAGACGGCCGCCTGCTCGGCTTTCAGCACCGCTGCGGGGCAGAGGAGGAGACGGCTGAGTGCCTGAGGCCTGCCTGCCCGCCCGCCCGCGCCGCCCGCCCGTCCGCCCGCGAAGGGAGGCAGAGGAAGCCCCAGGGGTGCGTGCAGGGCCCTCGCCAGCCAGCTCGGAGGGGCTCGCCAGCAGCGAAGGCCGCCGGCTCCGCGGGCCGCGAGAAGCCCCTTCTGGGACGGGGCGATCCCGCACAGGCACCCGCAGGACCAGCGAAGGGCTCGTGGACTGCCCGATTATTTACATATTCATTGCAGTTATAAGCCATCCAATATTGAGTGGTTCCCAGCAATGCACACGACTAGAGCGTATCATCGCCGTCGACCATTTTTTACGTAGACCGCTGTTCCACCACGGGGAGCCCAAAGCCGGTCACAGCGGCACCAGTGAACGGCAGCCGATGACATCGGTGGCCCGGGCATCATCGCCCGCTTGCCGCCCAAGCCTTGGCCCACTAAGGTTTCAACCGTTTCAGTGGGTCGCCTCTGCAAAGAACTGCGATGCAGCCCAAGGAAGCCGTTCGCCTTTCAGTTGTCGTAGCAGGACTCCTGCTAGCACGCTCGTGGGACACAGCGGTGGGGTCCGTCTCCAGGACCCCATCCTGGTAAAGAAAACGCTTCATAGTCTAGCTGTGGTAGGTTACGTGCATAACCCATGCATGTTTCGGCAGAAACGAAAGCCCGCAGCTCCCAGCATGTTTTCAATCTAAGCAAGATTCGGTGGGCACCCTGACATAAGCATTTGGATGCTGCTTGGGGTGCTATTATACGAGTCTAGAGGTGGTTCCCCCCATGCACCCATTCACACAATTTACCGCACATCAATTCTCTGATGCAGATTAAGTTGATCTGAGTGTGACTGGCCCAAGATCTCCAAAGAAGCTTCAGGGCTGAGCAGGGATTTGAGCCTGGCACGCTCAGGTGTAAGGTTGCACTCTCTTCTCTGGGAACAACCTTCTGGAAACAAAGCTGTCTACACAATACTTGGCTCACTACAGAGACTCTCTTGGCTATTTAGGTGCTAGAAGGAAGCAGAGATCTCCCCTAACCCATTAGGGACTAGAATCCAAAATGTATTTTACTTGGCACTGAATCTCACTTAAACAAACAGGGTTTACTTCTGAGCAGTCATGTTGCACAATCCCTTGCACATTTACTCAGAAATCAGACCTGCAAAGACTTGTTTCCCGAATCAGCTGGCAAGGGAACGGTGGCACCTTTCCACAAGTGCACTTGGGAGCAACAGCCATCCAACTCTGCTAGGTTTACTTCTGAGTAAGCATGCTTGAGATGGCAGGGCTAGATGGCCCACTGAAGAAGGCACCAAAACAAAGTTGTAGTTACTTAGGGAAATAGGCAGCAGAGTGATCCCCTGAATTAGGAGAAAGATTCCAGCGTGTATGCCTCATCAGTCTTCCTGCTGATATTAAAGATAACAACTATCAGACCAGGTTTACAGATGTCTCCTCAGAAGCAAGTCCTCTTGCATTCAAATGGATTTTCTCCCAGAAAAGTGTGCATTGCAGTTTTAAAGTTTCAAGTGACAAACTAGGTATTGGGAAGCCATTTCCAAGGAAATTAAGGTTTTGTTGACTGCAAGGGAGGCCTGCTGGGGGGGGGGGCTCCCTCATAAACAAATGAAGACAAATCTACCACTGATTATAGCAAAGCTGGAAGAGTGTAATAGTTCAAGTGTTGGACTGGGGGCATGGGAGATACAGGTTTGTTTCCCCACTCGGCCATGAAGCTCACCTCATGACTTAGGGCCACTCACTGTCAGCCTAACCTACCTCACAGGGTTGTTGTGAGGATAAAAATGGATAAGCCTCCTTGGGTTCCTCATAAGAGGAAAAAAGGTGGGGTATAAATACAATGCAATAATAGTAACAGCAGTGAGTGTGTGGAGTGTAGTCCCCATAACACCAAGAGAGAGCTTTCCTAAGGTACTACCACAGTGGGAATTAAATAATGGAGAAGTACCTCTCTGAGTCTTTAATACGCCAACCAAAATGGACTCTTTAAAAGTACTGGTATTTTATTACATTACTTTCAACACTCACATTTTGTCCAGGAAGCAACAGGCCAAATTTCCCACATATGGAAAGCAAGTCACTTCACAAACCATTTTGTGAAGTAAACGTCTGTTGCTATTACTACAATAGATGCGAAGGAAAATATTTTCAAATAATTTGGACAGCAGTTTAGAATTTTTAAAAATGCATTAAAGTTTTGGAAACATACTAGGTTGGTTCCAGAGGCAGTCATACTTAGATCCTTGACTGTCTAGAGTAAACCCATTGACTTTAATGGATTTACTCTATCTGGGACTATCCCACTGTGGCAATAAGAGAAAAATGAGTACCTTCAATTTCAGTGAAAAGGAAATGTTGGAAACAGATATTGAGATATTTTCATTCAAGTCTCTATCTACAACTTCCAAAAATTGCCATGGTTCAAAAACATTTTAATGTTTGTGAGTATGGATTACTACTAAAGCATTAACATTTTTTACAGAGAATGCACAATAACTCTAGAAGAATATAGGATGTACTGAACTGATTTTGCAAAGACTTTTCTTTGCCACTTGTGAATGTGCTTTTAAAATGGCATTCAACTTTCAGCCTGATTTTGCAGGCTGATCCTCAGTGCTATTGGACTGTAATGTAATATTTGGATTCGGTGACTAATAAATTTTAGTTTAAGTGTAATTAGTGGAATATAGCAGGGTGTGTGGACCAAGCTCATAAGAGAATGGAGTCATGCACATTTCCCCTCCTAGTAAAACACTGAAATTGATTTACTTATTTCCAAGCAGGCATGTATAGAATTATGCAGTAAATATGCAAGCTCTGTTATACTAGTAAACAACATTTGATATGTTTGGGTCAACTATTGCTTGACCTTAAAAAATAAAACAACCTAGGGTATGGTCCAGTCAAAATTAGCTATCCAAATCCCCACCGACTGGAAAGAATTTAAAGTGTAAGTCTCCATTCAGAACAAGGGGCTTCGAAAGCATCCAGCATAATCTTTCCCCCATATCTACTTGAGAAACGGGCTTACAACAAAGGCAAGTTCCCCTAAGTTCGATAGGACTTAGTCTGCAGCAAACAGAGTAAATCACAGAGTCAACTTATACTAGGAAGCTGCAAACGCTTAAGAAATTCTCACATGCTTCAATTCCGGCAGAAAGCGAATGTTGCCTATCGTCTCCGCGAGGCAACGCTTGCCTACTGCTGAACGTAACCATGCATTCATTGCTCAGGCGTGCAAGGAAGACGTTCATCCCCGCACTACAGAACTTTCCTGCGGGGAGGCAGAAAGGGAAGAAACCTTCCTATAGCCAATACCAACTTCTTTCAAACAAACACTCACTCACTTAAAATGCAACGTACTTCAGGTCTTTTCTTCTGGCAAATAGTAACGAAACCTCCAACGACTGTTGAGAGCAAGAAGCTCTTCTTTTCCTTCTGCTTTTTACTTCCCATTCCTGTCTCCAGTTTAAAGATACAAATTTGTGCATCTTGAGTCTAATCGTTATGCACTTCTTTGTCCACGCACATGCCGTCCCCGCAACGCCTTTCCTTGGCGACACGTCCCCGGAGAACTTCGGTCCCAGTTTCCGCGTGGGAGCAGCTCCGCTTCGGCGTGATCTGAGAGGAGGCTGGGATGCTGTTAAGCGAGGCGGAAGAGATGCAAGAACGGGAGCCGCTTGGTTAATCCGCGTCCAAAGGGGTTGCTTCGGATTGTCCTGCATGGGTTTCCCGCATCGATTGCCCGAGAGAAGCTGGATCACAGGGTCTCCATTCGGCCAGGCCGTGGTCCTTATCCTCCCCACGCAGCGCCTCTGAGCAGGGCCTCCTCCCGAGCAGCACTTTCGCCCGCGGGCAAAGCGAGTCCGCTCCGTTAGGAGAAGGGTCGAAGGGCCCCGACGGCGAAAGGACTGGCAGGGCGAGCAGAGTGGGCTTCCCCGCGCCTTCTCGCCGTCTCTCGCCAGCCGTGCATGCCCACGCGCTCCGGCAAGGGCCTTCCTGACTGGAGGGGGCCTCCGAAACACACGGCCCGTCCCGCCAGCTCTCCCCTGGGCCTTGCTCTGCCCGGGGCGGAATGGGGCGCCTGCTCCAGGCACGCGTCTGCTGCACCGCTGAGGCCTCACACAGCCCGCCGCCCTCGCGGAGCCTCCGCAAAGGCCCACGTGGCGCAGAGCCGCGGGCAAAAGAGCAGCGGCGAGACCGGAGCAGTTGCGCCGGGGCAGCAGGCTCCACCGTGACAATCCGTGACACGCTGCCCCCCAGTTCAAAGGCCAGCATCCTCCGGGTTGCACGTCTTTTCCCTTCCTGATTTTCTCTAATCCGGCATAGGGTAGTCGTGTGAACCTTTAGACTTGATGCCGCTTTCCGTGCAGTTGCAAGTGCGGTCGCGTGTCCTTCGTTGTCCCGTCGTCCAAACGGATGTCGCTGGATCCGCTTGGCGCTACGAGCCCGAGGATCGTCCTCGAAATTTTGGAGGCAGAAAATGCCCCCGAAGGCGGGATGGGTGGGATGGGGGTGCTGCCGAGTCCGGGGACAAGATGAGGGCCACAGCAAGCCAAGCTCCACGCCAACGACTTCGGGAGAATTGGGGTTTCCCTTCCCCTCAAATCAAACGTGCGTTTAACCATCTTCGGTATAAACGGCAGACAAAGGAGGCGCTCTGCTGTGCAGGGGCTTGAGGCTTCGCTTCGGCCTCCGGCCCACAGGCGCCGTCACGCTCCCGGCAGCCCTGCGCGGGAAGGCGCGCCCTGGGGCCAACCTGGCCTCCGAGAGGCCGGCGAGCGGGGCGCGGGGAGAAGGGTGCACTTTCGCCCGCACCCTTCCCGCAGGGCCGCCTGTTCAAGCGTCACCCGAGAGGGTGGGGGCGCGGGCAGATTTCGGGAAGGTGGGGGCAGACGGTCCGGCCAAGCCGGGCCTGCAGTGCGGCGCTTGGCGCGGCCAGGCCACGAGGACCGAGAGGCGTGAAGCTAGCCGGGCTGCTTTTGCGTTTAAGGCTCCCCGAAAGTGGAGATCCGGCCCGTTTCTGACCGAACCCACGCACCTCAAGTGGGTCTCCCCTGCCGGCCTCCTCGGCCCGTTGGCTCCGAGCCAGGAAGAAGGCCGCTCCGCGTCCGCTACCCCGGCACGCCGCGCCAGGCTCTTCGGCAGCAGCCGCCTTCCTCCGGCCTGCTCCCTTCCTTGGATGGCTCCTCCAGGAATTAGTCGAAACTGGAGGCAGGCGAAGGGAGGGCGCGAAAGGGGAGAGAGAAAACGCTTCCAAACAACGATCCTCCCCGGCAGGTCTCCCGGGAGGAAGGGGGCCCAGAGGCGAGGCCCGACAACGCCCGGGCTGGTGCGGAGCGCACCAGGGAGAGCCTTCCTCTGGCCCAAGCATCTGCCGGTTTCTTCCACCGTCTATTGGGGCGGCGGCGGTGGGAGGGGGGTCCCCTCTAGCAGGCCCGGCATGCTGGAAAAACTAGTCCGGTGGCTTGCCTTGGACTCACCTAGGCTCCCATGGAACTCGCCGTGCTCACTGCTGCCGAAGGACGGCTCGACCTGCGCGGTCTCATCCTGCGCAAGTTGCGTCTGATTTCTCGGGTGTCGCAGAGCAAGCCGCGGTTGGGCTGCAGGTGGCGGATTAATCGGGCTGTGGACCGGACTATGCCATGCATTCGCATGGCGCACACAGCGCCTCGCGGGACGCACTCCTGAAATGATTTATTCTGGCAGATGCGCTTTCCCCTGAGTGGGAACACCCGCCAGTTACACCAAGGCAATGGGGGAGACGGGGAGGTTATACACGCTCCTTCCCCAGCCTGACCTGACCGTCGCCGGTGTAACGCTGTTTTCCAGTGCAAAAGATAACGCGAGACCCAACAGATTAATCTGCTCAGAGCTGCTGAGGAGCGAGCGGAAAAGGGATTGCTCCCCAGGAAATGCGTCCAGGATCGCAGCTTTTGTATCGATTCTGGGGCAGCAGCGGTCCTCAGCAAGGAGCCTCGAGCTAAGGAAATCCCACTCACGGGCTTTCCCTGCCAGGAGACGGGCTTGCGTCCCGCAGGCCCGTCCACCCGCTCAGCTCGCCTGGGGTGTCCCGGCCCTGCGCGGCCTCCCCGGGAGCGAGTCGCTGAATGTCGACAGAAGGCGCTTCTGCCGGACCTCAGGATCGCAGCCAAACCAAGCAGGATCCTTTCTGTTAACACTGCGAAGGCGCTTGAAACGAAGTCGGCGGCTCTGTCTGCCCGGCCGAAGGAGGAGGGACTCCTTCAGGCGCCTGGAATCACCGGAGGTCCGGACTGCCAGCACCTCGAGGACGCCCTTGACAGCGGGGAAGTCGCCGGACATCTCGCCCGCTGGCACAATCCCACAAGGGGAAGCGGGGAAACCCAGGCCCGGGACAGGCCACGGGCAGCCGCCGCGCCGAAGATTTCCCGGGGAGTCAAGGGCTTGATGCCGCCAAAGAAAGGGATAAAAAAGGAGTTGGCGCGGGCGGGATTGCGGTTGCATCGCAGCAGCGCTCTGCAAGCAGGCCGAAACTAGATGCATGAATAACACTTTTTTTAAGCCAAGGATTTCTTTCTGCTTGAACTCCCCCTCCTCCTCTTCCCGTTCCACGAAGTCCGGGGCTGCCCCTCTCCGCCCGACCACGCGCGCGGAAGAGGCCCGCGGGGGGGGGGAACCGAGCGCCCCCGCCCCCGCCCGGCCAGGAAACCAGCGCTGGAAAGACGTACCTAGGGGGCTGTGGTAGGGCCGTGCCGACAGCAGCGCCTTCACGCCGAACTTGAGCAGCTCCCCTGCCGGTGCTGAGCTCTTGGCGTCCGGGTGATCCGTCAGGATCTCCTCGATCATAAAGCTCCGGTAGCGATGCGAGCGGTGGTCGGCGAAGGGGTCGGCGGGGAAGTAGTGGGCGGCGGCGCCCAGGTCCAGGGGGTGCTGCATCGTTCCGGGTGGCCCGCGCGTTCCTCCTCCACCCAGCCCCGCTCGGCGCGGCGCGGCGCGGCGGCTCAGCCCTCAGAGCAGCTCCTCGCCCGGCGCTTCAGCCAGGACCCTCGGAGGCCTCGGCGAGGCCGGGGCCATCGCCGCGGCCTCGGGGCGCCGCTCCCCGCCGGAGGGGCCGGGGCGGCAAGCGAGGGTGGGCAGGTCTCGCCGCTCGCTGCCTCTTCGCAGCCCTCGGCAGGGAGGCGAGGCCAGGCGGCGGCGGAGGCGGCGGCGCGCTGCAAGCCCGGCTGCTCGAAGGGGCGGCCTCAGCAGCGTCCTTCTTCCTCCTCCTCTTCTTCTTCTTCTTCTTCTTCTTCTCCTTTCTCCGCCCCAGAGCCGCTCCAGACAACAGCCTATTATAGGGCTGACGCTGGCCTGAGCACGGGGGGCTTGGGATGCCGGCGGGGAGGGGGGAGCTGCGTGGGGCGGGCAGGGGCGGAGTACCTGGGGACGGGCGCTTGATCCAGCGCCAAGGCAAGCCAATTAGCCTCGGCGCTGGCCGGGGCGAGGAAGACTCCCCCCCCCCGCCGCACGCGCGCGCGCGCACCACGCCGCCCCCGGAAAGGGCGCATCTGTCCTGCAGTGGGGCCAGCCCGGAGCCCGGCCGAGCGGCACCCGACCGGCGGACATCCCCCTCCGATCGCGGGGCGCAGGGAGGCGCGAGTGGTCCCGCAGTCTGCTCCCAGGCGCTCCCCGCCGCCCCGCTTCCTCTGAAGGGGACCTGCGCGGAGTCTTCTTCCAGAGCCACCCTGAAGGCGGGCACGTCCCTTCCGGCAGAGGCTCCGGGGCGCTCCATTGCCCGCGGGCCGGTGCTGTGAGCGCTCCTTTCCAGGAGCAGGCGGGCCACGGCCTAAGCCAGCAGGGCGCAGCAAAGCTTGCGGAGCGGCTCCTCCCTTTCTCCCGGCCGCATCCCATGGACTGGCTCCGGGGCTCGTCTGCCTGAAGCCCCATTCGCCTGCATGGAGCTCCGGCACCGATGGGCGGCTTCCCGCCGGGCTATCCGGCTGGCACCGCCGAACACACGGGGGGGGGGGGCAGACCGCGAGATCGACCCTTGCGCCGATCCAGCACGACTCCGCTGGTGTTCTTGACCTTCCTCCTTCCGAAGCAGCGACGGAATCTCCTGCACCCCAGCTTGCCTGTTTCACCCCAGAACCAGACCTCTCCTCCTGCCTTTAACCGGAAACCAGTCAAGGGTCTTTCCTCCCTACATTTCTGGCGCGCTCCCGCACATGCAAAGGCTTTGGATACATCCACTCTGAGGAGCGATAATAAGATGCAGTTAATTCTAAATAAAATGCAGCCAAATCCTTGGAGTGTTTTGTTTTGCTTCGCTTTGTGTTTTAAGCTTGTTTTAATCCCAGTCTTTACAGCTAGAGGCCCGCCCTGCAACTCACCCACGAGGTGGGGTTAGTTTCATTTAAACCGAACATAACTAAAAATGTTTGGGTTTTGGTTTCTGTCATCTCTTCTACTTGATTGAATACCTTGCTAATTAAGACAATGGGCATCCAAATGGAAAGTGACTTTTGCACTGTATCTGACTTTAAAAGAATTAAAGGCATGTCCCTGGCATTCAAATCAGTGGACTCAGAAATACTAATTTAGGCCTATTCCCCTCCACCCCATAAACAGGATTTACAGAATAAAATTCTGGAAGAATGATGGAAGTTTCCATGCATCCAAGGCTGCCTTGTGCCATAACCAAGAAGATCCAGTAGCATGCGAGCAAATCTTATTTGTTTTCTCTCCTGCAATAATATTTTGCTGGATTATTGGAGAGGTTTAGGCTGCAATCCTGAGCACATTTACCTAGGGTAAGCCAGAAGTAAGCAAGCATCAGAGCTTACCTTCGTGCAGACACTGTCCAATTTGCCCAAAGCTCACCAGGTAGTCTGGTAAAATTAAACACATCAAGTCACAATTGAACTCAACAGGAGAGAAGTAAGCAGATGCCTGAAACCTCCCATCGCAATCAAGAGAATTTAAGTCTACAGCATTCCGCATTCTTGCGAGTCAGCACCACTAAATTAATCAGGTCTTAACCATACGTAGAATCCAAGCAAGATGAATAAGGGGAGATCTTGCAAAAATAAACATATTCCATATCTTCAGGGCAGCATGCAATGTTATTTTAAAAACAAACATACCTCTGTGTGTATTTCTATAAAACCTATCAGTACAATGTACACTGATTTTTTTAAATGTTTGTATGTCAAAAGCACATTTTAAAATGTACCCCACACTGAAAGTTTTTACTAAAAGGCAGAGTGTGTATATATATATATTTTAAATAAATAAGAAATAAACTACACCATTCCTGGTGCTGCCAACCCTTTTTTGAGGCAGGCACTGAAATGCTCTATAGTCCCTTAAGCTTCATAGCAGTTTACAGCTGGGGGGCAGGGGGATTACAGCTTGGCAGAAGTCCAACTACTGTGATTCCAGCTATAGATAGGTCCAGGCTAGCATATATCCCTCCCCCGCCCCCAAACATACACCCCAGGCATGGGACTTCTTTTGCAATAGATTTGACAGCAATTTTTTTTAAAGAAAAAAAAATGAACATTTAGGGCAGCCTTTATAGTGCAATCTTCTGTGTGCCTGTTCAGAAATAAGCCCCACTGAATTAAATGGGGCTTGCTGTCAGGACAATGGCTTGTAATCATGTACCTATTTTTTGAGGACCAATTGCCCTGAGTTCAGTGGGCTTCCTTCTGAACAGGTGTGTACAACATTGCATGGCTCAAGTCCTATTGGTTTTAACAGGTGGTTTCAACAAGTACTTGAGGCCATTTTAATCTGCATGGTTACTTAGGAGATGGCACTTTCAGGATGCAGTTGATCCCACTGCATTTCTCTTGTTAAAATTTTAAAAAGAGGCTGATTTTGCTTGGATCATGCCATTTGTTCTACAACTGTTCCTTCCTTCTTTGTATTATTTTCTTCCCCCATTTTAGGAGGAGGCGCTTATTCTGTTTCTACTCTACAGAAAAGTGGAACCAAATACCAAGCATTGACCAACCAGCAATTCCATAATTCCTCCTACTGTATGCCTTGCTTTTCCCCTCTTGCAAGGAACCCGAGGTGGCTCACGTGAGGTCCTCTCCTCCTTTCCATTTCACAACCGCGGTTCGTCAGAGTGTCAGTGATGGGCTCAAAGTTACCCGGTGAGTTTCATGGTCCAGTTCATAGACGCAGACCTTCCCAAGCCAAAGAAAACCCTCCACTGGCCAGTCCAGGCACGACTTCTATAGTTTCTTAATTAGAAACTATGTAACTAAAGAAATGCCATGATTCTAATGGAATCTGACGCCCCTGGTTGTTGCAAAACTCAAGGCACTATGAAGTGACACCCTTTGAGATGTCACAGGCAAGGGCAGGAAAGAATGGCCAGGGTCAGCCTGAAATCCTGCTCAGAAGGGGAAAGTCCTGGGACACCTGCCGGGCTTGGGACAGCTCACGTGGCAGTGCTTAGGATGGGTCCCTGTGGCTCTGACGTCCAGGCGGTGCCCGCGGCAGCATCCTCTGCAGGGCTGGACAGGAGAAGAGACATCCCACAGTGCCCAGTGGGCCTCAGCCAGCCAGCGTGGTGGGGGTTTTCCTCTGCTTCAACAGGCCTAGGATAGCAGCAGTCACGCCTAAGTGGGTGGGCCCTGCCAGAGGCCGCACCAGAGGTGCTTTTCAGGGAATTCTTTCACGTGTGGCGCTGGCAGCCACCCAAGCCACACGAAGCATCCTTAGCCCCAGGTGAAGATGCCCCACGGACCCTTTGGGTGGGTGGGGGGGGGGTCAGCAAAAGGCATAATCAGGGAAATTCACCCGCTTGCCTGCAGGCGTAAAGAAAGGTATCTGTGTCCCTGGGAATTTCCCTCCAGTCGCCCTCATACTCCCATTTCCTTTTTCGCCTTTTCTTTTGAAGTGGGGCTACTCAATCACTCTTTGAACTGGGCTTTGGTTAACAACTTTATCGGAGCACTGCCACCACCGCCCTCGGAACTGGGGCGATCTGAAGTGCGGATCTGCTCTGTTCTCATGGCTGTTCCTCTGCTAGGGCAGCGCTCCAGGCTGGGGGCGGGTGCTGACTCGTGGGGTCAGCGATTGCGAGGTTGAACCAACCTCCAGATTCACGGAGGTGCAATCAGGAACTGCCTGGTGGCCTTTGCAAAGAAGCAGGTGTGCAGCAGCAGGTGATGCCTGGACTCGGACGCGTTGCCGCGATTGCCTCTGACTTAGTGCAACCCCGAGAGTGAATGCCCTGCCCTTGACAGCCCTGCTCAGCTCTCGTAAGCGCAAGGCTGCGGCTTCCCGCATGGAATCGTCCGACGCATGGCTGGTCTACTTCTTCTGCCAGCTTCCTTAATGTGATCGTCTTCTCCAGTTAGTCTTGCCGTCTTATGATGTGCTCAACGTACAACAGCATCAAGTACAACAGCATGTTGCCAGTGTGGTTTCTAGAGAAATTTCTGATTTGATGTGCTCTAGAAGCCACTTAGTCTTCTGTCAGTCCAGGGTATTTGCAAAGCTCCCCTCCAGCCCCAAGTTTTGAGTGCATCCGTTTTCTTCCTGGCAGCTTTCTTCACTGTCCATCTCTGCACACCCAAAACACAGTGATCAAAAATGCAATAGTTTGGATTCCCTTGGCCTTGGTTTCCAATGAAACGTTTTTACACTGGATTATCTTCGCTGCCCTTCCCGGTGTCAGTCTTTCCACTTTCTTGGCTACAACCATCTCCTTGAAACTGATGACTGAGCCGAGGGCAAATCTGGTCAAGTTTCCTTTCAAATAACAAACGTTCCCAGCAAACTACAGATTGGGCGCAACACATGCCGAAGGATCGCATTTTCTTTGCTTATGTACCACTCTTCCGGTCATCATGCGCTAGGGAGACATAATGTTCGAGTGATTTACTACTCCTGACAACTGTTAGAGGAAGTCTGCGGCTGTTTAGATCCTAAGA